CTTAAATTTTGTAATTGAAATCGCAGACTCTGAGTGTAAGGGACGAGCTAACCTGCAGCAACATCGATTTAATATGTTTTTTAGAAAAATGGTCGATGCCTTTGCTGCCACAGTTACCTGTAAAAAGTAATCCAACTTCTGATTACTGATTAGTTCCTTAAAAAGTAATTATTTTACTGGTTACTTGATTTCAGAAGTGACTAAATTAGATTACGAGTTTTATCAGTAATCTCGCCCACGACGTCACCCCGCCGACCTAAAAATGAGAACAGGTCTTGAACTCACTTTCATTGGAAGTTCATTTTCAAAAGTGAAGTCTATGTTCCTCCTGACATTTCAAGTTTAAGAATATAGATTGAATATCCGACAAATTTACACAGATATGGGTCTGTTATATCAGGTTAACAGGATGTCTTTTATTACTGGGTGAAGAGTTAAAATCTATTTACATTTTCTACCCCGTGTTGTGCTGAATAATTTCTGAATCATCAGCTAAAACCCCCCCTCAGGAGCAATTAGAACATGAATCATGACACATTGTTACAATTAAAGACAAAATTAGTGTTGCTGGGTGTTTTGGTTGATTTATGACTGCTAAGGTCCCTATGGACCAATAAAGGAAAATGTTAAGTTGCATGAGGAACTCTGGCACTACAGAATTACATCATGTTTTAGTATGTCTACTATACTCCATCAGTAGTTCTGACTTTTAACATATGAAGCACCTGCTTTGCTTGAAAGAAACCAACAGAGGGTATATGCATCAAACTAATGCTCTTGGAGGTTACTGATGTCATGTGTGGGTGCTTTATTGAGTGAAATGCTACAGTAAGCACACTATATGGGATGTAAGACAGATCTATATAGAAAATAATTAATGAAGTCTTATGTAAAGTCAATGAAACCAATGTTTTATATCACATCAAATCAATAGTGCTCCAGGACAGCCAGGGCACATAAAAATGACCAAATTATTAGGTACATTTTTCTGTTACTGGATTGGGTCCCATTTGCCTTCAGAACTGCTTTACATTTTTAAGGCATGGATTCAATTCAACTGATTGCAGTGCACCCTAATAAAGCAATTTGTTCACAGAATTTGAATTACGGTTGTCAGTGCAAATGCTGAATGCATATCCACAATTCACTTTCAAAACAAGACTTGTAAATGCAGAGGATTATGAAAACCATGTATCCTTGTCTTTCCGTAGCATAGTTAAAGACCACCACTTGTATCACAACAAATCCCAGTGACATTTCTCAAAGTTAGTTATGTAAAAAGAAAAAAAGTGAATAAATGCTGCCAGTATGTGCTTAAACATTTGAATTCACAGGGAAGAAGCTGCTAAGTGGAGGCAGATTAACCGAAACGAACCGTCATAAATCCAGACATGCATGGAGCCCCTTTAGAGCACGTCAATATTTGCATAAAAGAAAGCAAATCACAGTTAAACAGCAACATGTCTCCAATTTCCACTTTGCTGGGCCACATCAAGAAACGCAAGAACCAAATGATGTTTGGTTTGGGGTTTTACATTTCAATTTAGCCTCAGGCCTGGGAGCCATTAAAGCCTAATCTGAATCCTGGTCAGTGCTTGCTCCCTGGAGCAGAAAGTATGGTTTTATTAGCATCAAATTGTACACAAAACACACACACACACACACACTGGAATAGACACGACCCACGCCCAATAACGGTGAAACAGCATCTCATTATTGGCCATTAGATTTGTAATACTTTCATTTGAACTGGCACTACATCTCATATTCATAAAGGGAACAAAGTCACAGCATGAAATAGTGACACAGCTGCTGATGGGAGCCAAGAGAGTCAAGGCCAGAAAAACAAATGATTCATAAAATGAAATAGTTTGAAAATGTCGTTTTTGATAAAGGGGTAAAATGTCCATAATTACTGCTAAAATGTAACGCCCACCAGTGTGCTAACAGGTATGGCTGTTGAGTGTAATTAAAAGCATATACACAATAAATGGATTCTGTTTGTATTGGGGAGAAAACGTAAAATTTTGGAGTTTGTGTGACAGTTTGAGACAGAAAGAAATGGTAAAAAGTGCTAAAACTTGTCAATCTCTCTAGTATGTCATTCATACTGAGCATTTCCTCCTGATGGACACACCACATTAACCAGCTCATTATCAGCCTCCCACCATATGGACTCAGTCCGAGTTGGGTCAGAGTCGCGGCCGCCCGGATCGTCTCCCCCCGTCCTAATTAGGACAATTATGCCATCTCCTTCACAAGGGCCAGTTACACCAAATGGTGTCGCGGCCTCGCTAAGATTGGTGTCAGAGATCCCAGTCTATGAGAGGTGGCGGGGGGGGCATGCTGCAGTGTCATTCGGCAAGAGCCGCCGAACCCGCTGAACAATTACCCCGTGTGAGAGGTGGCAGAATCAGAGTCACAAAAGAGAGATCTAAAAAGAGAAACTGGAAGAGGGGAAGGTGAAAAATGGAAGGCGGCGAGGGTCAAAACCTGGATCAAAGTGACACCAAGGAGTCAATGAAGTTAACATGGTTGACTTCTGGATCTGTTTGGTGTACAGCAGTGTCCTACAGAAGAGTAAAGAGTTTATTCAGCCATTTAACATCTGCTGCTCCCAATAAAGTCAACAGCCTTTACTCTTTTTGAATCCAATTGGGCACATAGTTTACATCAAGCTATGTTTAGTTATTCAAAGACAGATGGTGTAAGTCGTATTTTACAGCTGAGTAGAAAATATGGACCTCTTCTCGAAGGGATATGGTTAAACATTGTTGCTTTAAGATGGCAGAAATGGTTTATGTCTTGGAATATGTAGATGTGATCTCCACTTAAGGTTTTTAGATTTAGACCCAATGATTGAGACCCTGAGATGCAGCAGTTTTGTTGTAAATATACTGTTTTGGTTCCTTGGCTGACATCAGCTTAAATGGGCCAACAGGATGAAGTGGAGTTTTAAAAGTTTATTTTTTTTAACAATGTTGGAAGAGTTGTACTGAAGTGTTCAAAGACAGAAAAAATCACTAGATGGTCAAGCTATAACCACTATGTCATGCAAATGTTTGCCCAATTGGAAGTTTTTTGTGTTATTTCTTATTTTTGTCACATATAATATAGCTCAAGTGATTCCCATCTCCCAATATCTTCCAATAGGATAAAGGTATTTTCAATCATTTAAAAATTATATTTTCTACTTGGGTTACCTTTATCTTATATCACCAATTGTCCAAGATGTAAAACATTAAAGTGTGACTAAAAAAACACAACACGGGGAAGAAATCTCTAAACATGCTGATTTGCCTGTTGCTGATAATAACGTTTGTTCCGTCTAAATGTAAATCTTCCATCAATCCAGTTTACAGTGGAGCAAATGTCGTTTAAAAGCCCAAACTGAAAACTCCATCATGGTCAAGAAATGAGGCTTAGTTTTCAACCGCAAGGCAGAAAATTTGTTATCAGAAGTTACCCATTGCTCGTGTGCTCATGCTTAAATGAAAAGCAAACTGAGCTAAGGCACAAATGGAACCTCAGTAGGAATGAATTTAACTGAACTATTTGAAAATAGCTGCATAATTAAAAGCATTCTGTAGTCACTTTATGCTGGCTCTGCTAATAGCAGGTATTAAGGTAAGATATTGGCTCTTTAGTGCAGTAATTAAGACACATTCATTGTAAGTGTTGCCCATTGATCTTCAGACAAACTGCACATGACTCAGGGCTGATCTTCACTGAAAAGCAGTTCCAGTTCCACTTAGTTTTTTCCTGTACCTTCCTGATGTTCATCCAGTGATGCTTTATTTTCTTCCTTTCATAACCGAATCCCTGAGACTTAAATTAGGCCCTGAGAGTATCGGCAGATCGACAGCCTCAAAGCAGGTGCATCCTGATGGGCATTTTTCTGTCTCCTTTCATCAGAATAAAACATTTCTGAGAGCTCAGAGTAAAGAGAGAGATGAGTGAGTTTGTGTCCATCGCTAGCTGGTTCCAGCATTACGTTCTGCTCTCCCCACCTGTGTCTATTAGCCGGTCGAGGTATTGACCATGTTGTTCAGCAAAACGGAGATCAAACCGAGTTACAACAGGGACGCCTGAGTTCCTGAAAACAAACTGGTATTGATCTGTGTGAGCAGGTTGAATAAGCAGTATACAAGAGGCTGCGTTGAAGGTCCAATCCAATGTCACAATCCTGCACCTCCTCCTGTTCCATTTTACTGCCTGTTTCCACAAACACAAGCTGCCAGTTATTGACTACGTGGAGAATTTCTGTGGAAGGAAATTCTACTTTCTGTGTACAAAGAATATATTAACTTCTGTAAACTTCTGCTGTGAAAAAGTACTTGCATATGGATGTTTCCTTTTTTTTTTATCACACTTATGCTTCCAATCCAAATATACAGTAGGCGACATCAGCAATTTTGTAAGTACAGAAAATAGTTTAACAAAAGAATGATTTCAGAGAAAACACATGCCACTGAGTAGCCTAAAAAAGTAACATACTTCCTAAACGTTCATCTTCAGAGTACTAATTGTAAAATTCAGCCGCCTCAGTTTTTTCTGCGACGAACACTGTCAGAGTGTCCCATTCATTTTGTATGTACAGAAATAAAAAAAATATTTTTATTTGTTTTACCTTTTTTATATTTATATTTTATGTCTTAATCGAGAGCAAAGCAAAATTGCAGTCAAATTCTTAAAGTGCGCAAACTTGGAGAATGAAGCTGATTCTGATACATTAGGATACAAATGTAGTTTTTAGGGAAGATTTAATTAACAATTTACAACAAAATAGCAAATACAATAACTGAAAAAGTTCTCATAATATAAACATAGCGAAGAGAGTTAGTTTGATTTTACAGGAAACTGGAAGGCTCATAGTAGATGTTTCAAAAAAGAAACTTACTTGCATAACTCCCGCCTCCTAGACCTCTACAAACGCTATTGGTTAATGAGAAACGTCCAGTTTCACGTGATTTGCTGAACGGTGCCGTGGGAGGGACAACTTCCGGAAAGCGAATTGTTTTCATTTTCATAATCTCTTAGCGCCGTGGCCGCAGTTTATTATGACTCACAAATAAGATTTCAGGACGTTTTGTTTCACCGAATTGTCGTTGGGTTGCTAAGCACCACCTTCGGAGGTGCTTACAAACTTCAACAGGTTAGTAATTTCCCGGAGCTGTCTGTTTTCTAATCCTCGTAGTTTTGATTGTAATCTGTATCTCGAACGTTTGTTTGCCTGAACCATCATCTGACATCTGAGCTGATGGCGAATAGTAGTCGATATGATCACACTTTAAACTCACCTCATGAGGTTGTTTCGTGTTGCTATTAACGGTCTCTGACCTAAACACTTACATGGACGCAGAAAAGCAACGAAACTGGCTTTTCTTCCTAATTTGTGTCATTGTGGGGAAATCATATGATGGACAGAAGTTTCGATTTGGTTCACCCCCGTCATTCAACAGCTGGTACAAACACCTTTAGCAGCATTAACACTCACTAGTCATTTTCGTTGTTAGCCACCCACCTCCTCTTGACAATACTGCATTTCAGTCTGGTCTTTAACTAGACCATTGATTTACCAATCTGGTTGGAGATCTCCAGTTTTCTGAATCATTGTTCTGTTGATGACATAGTTTGGACTCCAGACGGCCTTACATTTGTCTCTAAGACACAAAAGTTAATATTCAACTCAGTACCTCCATGCTTGTCTTCTGGGCTTAGGAGTTTGTTCTGGTTTGCTGTCAGAAAAGTCAGCCAGGCTTCTTTTACTACCTTATTACCAATTATTACCAATGATTGTGGCATGATTGATATATTTAGGATACAATTTCTCACAAACTGGTTATATCTCTGTGACTTTATAGGGAACGTTACAGCCAAAAATCTCAACTTTATATTTATACAACACGAAGTTATAAAGTTATTAGAACCAGTAGTTGTTTTTTTCTTTCATTCTTTCTTGGTAAATAAAACCCTGCAAACTTACTTTTTGTTAGGACTAGGATGCATTAAGCTAGCCTTAACATTGAGAAATGTTGTTTGAAACTTTTTCAGCTGTAATGGCTGCCCCAAGGAAGCGTGCCTTGCCCAGACCCCTCCCAGATGACTTCATACTCACAGACAGTGAGAAAAAGAAATGGAGGCTGGGGAAGATCATCGGTCAAGGAGGCTTTGGACTGATTTATCTGGGTAATAATTAAACTGTTTATTTGAAAACACTTTGAATATGTACACATGACAACTTCTACCTTCAGTTTGCATATATATTTTTAACTGTTTGCAACCGTTTTCTGCGACATCGATTAGCCTCCCAGGATGTAAGCAAGCCTGTTCCATCAGACACAGACTTTGTCATAAAAGTGGTGAGTACACAGAAAATCAGTCTGATTCTGTGGTGAACTATAGCTCTATGTGACTGGAACAAGATACTTTTTTTATTTTCAGCCTCACAAAACACAACTTGACTTGGTCACTTTCAGAACTCGCATAAGGGTATTAAAATTTGACTAGAAGAGAAAATTAAGTCTTAAAAAAAACTGTGCCTGTTTTTATTATTTCTTCTTTTTACTTGAAGATGTGAAGAAAAACCTTAAAAAGTAGAAATTTTGGAGTTATTGTAATTGTATATTACATAAATTGTATATATTGTAAATATATCAAAACTGTGTCGAAAAGACCCAAGGTACAAAATGGCAAAGAGGTGAAATGACAGGTATCTGAATCAAGCAATAACTAATTTATTTATTTACTTAATTCTGCTTTGTAATTGTCGAGGACGTATTCCTCAGGTCAAAATGTCATTCCAGCTTTCATTAGTTTTTACAAATGAAAGTTACTGTTGCAGCTCTAGACTTTTATTTCAATAACCAACCAACGTCAATACGACTTTTGGTTGTCCAGTAAATCATGCCACTCACCAGACTTTATTTGAAACAAGTTTTTAAAGCCATGTGTCCTTTTCTTTCCACTTTGCTGTTTTTCTATAACTTCTATGTTTATCACATGAAATCCCAGTGAAATACATTCAGGTTTCTATTAAACAAAATTGAGAACAGTCAGGGGTTGTGAATACTTCCCGTAAGGTACTGCAAACAAAAAAAAAAGAAAGAAGAAAAATCAGGAATGTTTCTTATTTGTTAAGATAAAATCTGTGACTTGAAGTGGCCTATTTGAATAATGTAGTTTTTTTAACTTTTAATGAAAAAAAAGGGCCAACGCCGTGTTTGTGCTTGCAGGAGTATCATGAGAATGGGCCCTTGTTCTCTGAGCTCAAGTTCTACCAGAGAGCAGCCAAACCAGAGAACGGTGAGTAGCACAACCTGTCCCGCGTCCCGACAGCCCGCCGGGGCGTGAGTGTGTTTGACTGATGAAGTGGCTGCAGACGCAGAGGTTTCTCTGCCTGGCACGCAGTAATTAATAACAAACCAAAGCAAACACGCACCCCAGTGGCAGTTGGGGCCTCCTCTCTATGCTTGTCTGAGTTCTCCAACGCCTTCGTTTGGAGAGGAGCAAAGGAGAGAAAGCCACTCACTTGTAATGATGCCTGGGCCTCCACAGAGCCCCTGACCACCTGCCAGCCTGGTTGAGAGCCAGTCAGGCCGGCCACCATCAAGCTTCTGAGCCAGGCCCACCATTTTGTCTGTGGCCTCTTTGTGTGTTAGCAGCCTTCGGCTTGTGTGCTCGTTTCCTTAGACATGCAGGGACAAATCCATTGTTAGAGAAAAATATTGTACTTTTTACAGAGTTCAAAGTTTCTGTCAAACACTATAAAAGACTGCATGGGTCATGACTGGTAGAAATGGGAGAAATGAATGAATAACAAGTTCTAGTTGGCAGCTATTTCCGTCAGACTAACTCCAGGTGATCGATGCAGAGCGCTGGGCCTCCCGCTGTGATTTCAGATTTTCTAATGGCAAACTTTAAGAGTGTTCTAAAAGAAGTGTCCCGTTATACAAACTCATAATTGCTCCTCTTTTGTTATTCTTTCAGTGCAAAAATGGAAGAGAGCAAAGAAGCTGAGCTTTCTGGGTATCCCGACATACTGGGGATCAGGACTGGCCGAATACAAGGACCTCCGGTAGATAAATGAGTCCTTTTGAAAGCCAAACAACATCCACTCAATTAAAGAATGAAATTGTTTTTCTTTACAGTGTAATAAAAGGATGATTTTTAAAGAGGAAGTCCAAAAATAAAAGAATAAACCTTCTGCAAAATGCCTGTCAAAAGAACAAATATGTTGCATAGTTCATTCAGAGGAAACTTTCTAAATCTAAGTCATACTACGTTTCCTTTTTACTATGAAATTAGAATCTGTAAATGTTTGGCAGCTCTTCCATGACAGTGTCTGTTGAGATTGAACACAACCATACATCATTCTACTTAATGAGATACTAATTGGGGGGGGATCGCCTGAACCCAACAGTAATCTGATGACTAGTGGAGAGCAGCCTAAGAGGTATGAAAACTGAGACTGAAAATCAGGATTATTCCAAAATTGATTTCTGAATTTGATTACTTTTTGTATTGCTTTTTTTTTTTTTTTAAATGAATATGAACTTATTTTGACCACTCATCAATAATTGTTTTGGAATTTGGGAAAATATTTTAGTATTGTCTGGAATAAAACAAAGATATATTCATTTTATTTATATGTGTAGGTATAAATAACAAAATAAGATATACTAAAAAAAAACTATTTTGTATGTAAAATTACTATGTAAAGGGCATAAATAGATCAGAAAGAGCAGCTTGAGTTTTGGTTAAATCTTTACATCCACTCCTCATGGGCTCGAATGTCATTTAATTTTAAAATGTAATTATTTATTTGAAACATTTCAAGCAATTGGCTTTATTTGAAATAAAAACTAAAACCAATTGAACATCTAGTTGGCATAAACAGTCAGTCTGGTTCCTCTCCCACTCAGGTACCGTTTCATGGCCATGGACCGGCTGGGTTGTGACCTTCAGAAAGTCTGTGAGCGCAACGGAGGTCGACTGAAGAAGACCACCGTACTCCAGCTTGGTAAAAGGCTGGTGAGGGACTTATGATATCATGACGCTCTGTGCTCCTCTTTTCTTTGGTGTTGCAGTAATTAAGCACGGATTCTAAGATTCAGTTATCCATCATCGCAATTTAATGCTGGTGGTTGTGTTTTGGTGTCCTTGTCAGGTGGATGTTCTGGAGTATATTCATGAAAACGAGTATGTCCATGCTGACATCAAAGCTGCCAACCTCATGTTGGGTTACAGAGACTCAGACCAGGTCAGTCACATAGCTGATTGGTGTTTGTTGTATAAAAATCTATGGCTACGTCGTCCTTTAACCTCAGCTGTTTTTCTTCAGGGCTCTGTTTAAACTTACCAAGCTGGATGTGACATTTGTAACATTCAGGCCTGTTTCCTGTTGACTGCTCCAGGTTTACCTTGCAGACTATGGACTCTCCTATAGATATGCCCCTGATGGAGTCCATAAAGAGTACAAGGAAAACCCAAAGAAGAGCCACAACGGAACAATTGAGTACACCAGCCTTGATGCCCACAATGGAGTTGGTAAGCCATCCAATTAGTTCCCATGGATATTATTGCTAAATTGCTCATCTCTTTCTTGACCAGACCTGCAAACTCTTCTAGAAATAATTAGAGGCCCACGTGAAATGCAAGGTCAAATTTTACATGCAGTGAAGAAGATGCATAAAGATTGGAGCCACAAAGGGTAGCAGTGTGAAACATCCGGATGATAATGTTTAGTTGGACCACTTTAAACAACACAAAATATCTGGTTTAAATCTTTGGCCAATGATTTACACAAGGCTACGCAAGAATTTACACAAATCCTTGTCTTTACACAAAGCTCACCCTGTGTAAAGACAATTTAATATATACAAGTTTTTAATAAAGCATAAAGAAAAAGCTTCTAAATAGATTCCAACAAGTTTTCCACAGACAGCCACACATCTACAGCTAGTGGTTTGATTTCTATTTTAATTGTTAAATAGTTCAATAATATTCAAGTTAAAAGTTACAATTTTCACTAATAATGCTCTTGCAATAAATGATCAATTTAGTTTCTGACTTTTTACACTTGCCTACCCAGATGCTTGTCAGTGAGGCAGGAGGTCGTATATCAAAGTCAACATTAGGCTGATTATTTTAAGGGACAATAAGTGACTTGTTATTTCATGGTGTCTTTACTGCAACCTGGTTTATTTACACTCTTTACTTCATCGCTCCAAATAAAATGGTCTTTTTGCCCTCTGCCTCCACCAGCTGATATAGGGAACACATTAACTGGCAAATTGCCTACATGCTCCCTTTTCTCATTGACCATTGATTTTCCCATCCATGCCCCCCACTGAATTCCCCAGCTCTGTCTCTGTTTAACAATTCCCTAATTAGCTGAAGTCATAACCTGCATCTTGTATTCATCCTCCCATTAATTAAGGGCTTTGATGTTTGGTTAGCGTGAGACCTGAGCTACCGATAACCTCTGTGCTCTCTACGTCGACCAGCTCCGCCGCTCAGCAGTTCGATACTGTGGGTTTGCAACAACTCTGACCGAGTAATTACCATTTTAAGGTTTCTATTAGTCATTCAGCTCTGCAAAAACTCTTGTAAGGAAGATGCATCAGGTGTAATATTGCACTGGGAAGGGAAAAAAGGACTTCTTCAAATGGTGGTTATCATCAGCTTTACAATCTTTCCTTCTCAAATGTTCCTGCCTGCAACTTACAACAGGTGATTAGACCCGAAGTTCCGATTGATGAAACACCAGGAAACCCTTCTGTAAGAACAGGAGTTTAGAGTGTAATCTGGGATTTCGAAGCGATCTTTATTGAGTGCAGTCGACTTGTAATTCACCACAGTGGGGGACGATGGCTCGTAATTAAAAACTGTAGTTTGATACACAAATACTGTTAAAGCTTTCAGTTAGATGTGATGATGTCTGCACCAGTTCTGACCAGCATTGTTCCTCTGATGCACACAGTGAACCAGCACTCGACGATCAACAATGTTGATGTTGTTTTGCAAGTCTCACTTTTCTACACATAATCAGTCTGTGTTTTACTCATGATGATGTGACAGCGTGACAGTCGACGCACTTCTCAGTGACACTACCCGTCATTCTTCATAAACAGGAGACCGTATGCATTTAGTTTTCCAGTTATTTTTAAAGTAATGGATGTTTTGAATGGATGGATGGATTTCAGTAGCAGAGGAGAAATATGTCCTCACCATATTCATACCTTTTCAGTTGGTCACCTCTGTTTTGAAATACAATAAAAAAAAGCCTGTTTTCTCCTTAAATCATTCAGTATTTAGGTTTTCTGGCTGCAAAATTATATTTGGTCTTCAAATTCCTTCTTTTGATCCTTATAAGGGAATATACCAGTGTCCTATCTGGTTCAGTGTGTGCTCGTATTGGAGCTGTAAGAACAGCTGAAAATTGAGACTTTCAACGTGCAGTTTCAGATTCTAGCTAACGAAAGCTTTGTAATGCGCTTTGATATTTTCCTCTTTAAAAATCTGCTAAGACACAGACAGAACGTGCTCAAGAGCCAGACTCATATCTGCCCCTCGCCGACCCGGTGGCATTCATTCCCACAAAGATGTTGTCAGGTTGCTGATGATGAGCCTTGGCGAACACATCCTGCTAGTGGCAGACCTATGTACCCGGAGCTAAACGGTGTAATTAGTGCCATTTGGTGGGCGGACAGCGGACTGATGACCGTCTCCAAACAACAAGTCTGCAAGGCAGAGGGTTAAGAGCGCGACACAGCATTGTGCTTAAGGGAATCTGAATAACAATAGGAGATAATTAGCAGCACGGCCAACGTTTTCTCAGCTCGCTGTCTAAAGCTGGGTGGGAACACAGCCGGTGTGTTGGATGTATTTATGGATTGTTTGTGTCCAGGTTTCACGTGAAAGCTGTACATGCACATACGCAGGCATGCTTCTTTTTGTTGTCCTTTGCCATTCTTCATACTAGGGCAAAGTATGTACATAAATATAGAATAGCAGACACATAAAGTGGCATAATGAGCAGCGTTATCGCGCCCAGAGCGAACGCAGAGGGCAGCAACGTTTAATGTAGCTGTTGATCTTTTTAATTGTTAATCCATTATGTTGCTCTGGGAATTGGACTCCCGTTTTCCTGTGTCAGTATCGCGTGTATTTTTCATCTTTATTCTCCTCCAACAGGCGCTTGGAAACATTAAGTCGCTCTGTAGTCATTTACACAACTATAGAGAGCCTCACTGTAATGCGGACATAATACATACTTTAAATTCACAAGGACAAACAGACCTGACCCTTATTATCAGCGTTATTAAGATCAAGTAGACGAGATGATGACATTATCATGTTTGGAGCTAATACATGTTGACTCTTTGTTTTTCCTTCAGAGCAGGTTTTCATTTCTTCTGTTTTTGCTCTTTTGTCGCACTTACATGTCTCAGATAATTTAAGAAATTGTATTACAAAATCATAACAAAAAGTATATTAGAAATTACGTTTTTTTTTTAAAGGAAACAGGCGGGGGGTGAGGGGGGCTTTCTAAAGCACCCTGGTCCTGAGTGAAAAAGTAATCTCCACCCACTCCCCTGTTTAATAATTATTTTACTGTGATCTACCACATTCTCTTAAAAGCAGAGTTTATTTCACTGCCCGCCTGATTACTGCCACACCTGTAGAATGAAGGAACCGGTTATATAGAAGCTGACAGCTTGAACCAGGCTATAAGTTTCTAAAAAAGCAAACGCATCATGCCCCAATGTAGAGAAATTCAACAACAGATGAGCAACAATAACGTCATGAGCATCTATGAATACGAAGTCATTTTGAAGACGCTGACAGTCCAGTGAACCACAACGCGAGCTGTTACCTACAATGAAGAAAACACAGAACCTTGGGTCGTCTACCAAAATTATTGACTCATCCTGGAGGTCACAATTAAACCTACAATTAAACCAGCTTCGCCTAAGCTGCTGAAATTACCTTCCTTCTTAGTCTTGCTGGTCTGAGAAAAGAAGAGGTCAGAGTGAAGTCGGTCCTTTTCTGCATGAAAGGAGCCAGTTAAGGTGGTTTGAGGATCTTGAAAGGATGCCTTTCTTGGGAGGTGTGTCAGACATGCCCCATTGTTAAGAGGCTTTAGGGCAGACCAAGACTTGCTTGAGATATTGTGTCTTTACATCTCTTTCAACCAAGCTAGAGGATGTAGCTGGAGTGAGGGAGAGTGAGGAGATTTAAACATTCTGTCATCAACCATATTTAACCAGCATTTTTTTTTTTTTTTTTACTTTCAGCTTGTTTCATTGCAGCCAACATACATGTTTGTGAGTCAGGCACACGTTTGTCCTGAACGTGTGCCTGAAACGCACCATTTCACTTGGAGTTGACAGTCATTATTCACGTTGAGGACGACAACTTGATTATACCAAATCACAGTACTTTAATTTCACAAATACGTCAACTTAAAATCAGTTTACCGCCTTCCTAATCTGATCCTCTGTGCGAGTGGCCACACTTCCTCTTTGGACCAGCCTGCTGGCTGACCGGGGGGAGGATCAATGCTGGCAGCAGCTCAGGCAGGTGATTTCTCCCTTCTGCTGGAGTCAGTCGATAGGTAATTTCTCCCTAGACGTGTGGCAGCCTTTACTGTATTGAGCTACTAAAACTCCCCAGGCTCAACCTTACTGGACATGGTCACCAACTATCGACAGACCTCACACATAAATGTAGATCCATGCAGTCATTCGTATGCTCACCATAAGATGGAGAAAAACACACTTATGATTTGTTATAAGAGCTCTTGGTGCATAGGAGCTTACACTGGCCTGATGTCAACATTTTATCCTGACTTTATGTTTAATTGTTTAAATCTTTGTTGTTCTCACTTGTTTGGTTAGTAACTGTTGCCAGCCTTAATATCACCTTGCATTTAAAATGCAGACACACAGATAATTAAGTTAAGACAAAAAGGCGCGTTATCTTCAGAGTTGCCATTTGCTCAGGAGCTTCCTGTTGGTATGAAGCTACACTTTTTAATAAGTATCATCTGCATTTGATCATCAGTCAATCCATCAATAATTAAACTGTTCAAGTCTGGACTGGATATCCTACAGAATCTCTTTTCACCACAGGATTCTCTAGATTTAACATGCAGTTTGAGGTCTAAGAAACCTTTATTCTAGTTATAGAAAGAGGAAAAAGAGCATTTTCAATGGTTTTTGGCTTTTCAACCTTGTTACAAGGGTTCCTACTAAAAATGTATGAAATTATCTGTATCATTTTCCATTTCTGGAAAAGTATGAGCATATGAATTTACAGACTTTGTTTTTATTTTCTAAAATAAATCTTGAATAAATAAGTTTTCCATTGATATTAGATCAGTCGTCTTTAAATTGCCACTTCTCAAACTCACTTTTTGTGAAAATATCGACCTGTCTAGTTTTACAATGCAACAAAGTTTTTCTGTTTTAAGAGGCGTTTTCACCTCTCATCTTGCCAGGTGGATTTATTTGGCAAAATAAATCCACCTGGCATTTATCTTGCCAACCTAAAGATTTTCAACCTTTAGGTTGAAGATCTCTTCTTTTCGGTTTCATAGCGCCTTCAAGACGTGGTGACCTCCAGATCTTGGGGTTTTGTCTTCTTCACTGGTTATGTGGGTCACTACCCTGGGACAACGTCCTCAAAAACCCCATTCAGGTGCAAGAGGCCAAAATCAAGTAAGTTGTCAGAAGTGCTAATTTTGGTATTTGGGTAGATTTGTGTTGTTTTCCAGGATGCAGCAGCTTTATTTGCCTTTAAATGTATTCAAAATGAAGGTTGGATTTTCTAAATCGTCTCTGTGAGATCATGATAAAAATAAAAAAAAAGACTGATTAACTTGGAATGCTTTCTGCACATCTTCACTGGATCAAACCCTAGTGGCTATCAGAGGTATTTTGATTTAAAGCAGCTCATGGCTCCTTCTTATGGCAGACATTTGTCAAACTAAATATGTATGAAAATATTTCATCTTACACTCTCTTTAAATTAACTCAGCTTCTGGCTCTGTGGTTTCTAATACTGCCGTATTACAATGATTGCAGGCTAATGTCTTGTGCTCTGCAGCAGAGCTGTGTAAATATTCATGGTCACTAATAATCCAGGAAGTGTAGTTGACCCCAGATAAGTGTTAACACTCTGTGTGACAGCTTGCTTTAGCTGGGATTTAGCTCCCCTTTCCTGCTGCCTTATTCTCATCCTGCTTTTTGCCCCTGAACTCTTGTCTCCCGCGTCTTTGTGACCTCATCTCCTCCTCGTTTTATTTCCTCTCTTAGACTGATGGATAATCTGCCTGGCTCGGTTCAGCAGCTGTCAGTGAGCGGAGCCAGCACAGGTAAGCCAAGGCTGCGGGGCTGCTTCAGGTTACAGGACATCATTTAGACTTCTCAGCTTAAACTGAGAATTTGGAAGTAAGACATGAAGCCAAAGGAAAGGAGGGAAGGCGCCTCTGTCTAATCTGGAGCTGATCTTATGGGATCTGAAGAGAAGGTCACGGTTGAGGACACTTCAGGCAGGGGGGGCAGGCATCAAGAGGACACAAAGCGCGCTGTGGAATCATGACCAATCAACTGCATTTACCAATCAGGTTATAGAAACATCATGATCAGTGAAAATAGGCTCAATTTTGAGTTTGGCAAAGAGCAACTGCTTTTATAGATGTAATTTTCAAATTCCATTCAAATTCAAAGATACTTATTCCAGAAAAAAATGAAATGCTGTCGTGACTCATACCTTCAAAGAGTTGTGGATGGTGATGCTGTGGGCATGAAGGATCTCCAGTACTGATTTCTCTGACTGACTGCTATCACAGTTTCATAACAGTTATGACATGATGATAGCTCAATTTTTGGGCAGCAGAGATAATATTTTACAGCAACATACAGAACACTGCTAATCCACCTCATTGGCTTTTTCTGCTCCTCTTTAGATCTCTGTCTGGCTATGTGGTTAGAAAGCCGGACAGAGAGATGTTGGAGTTGGGGATATGAGTCTTGTTCCTTATGATCAGTTGAGGGGGCAGTTTGATCTTTCTCTTCCTTTCTCTGGTCTGCGTCCATGAAGTCTCCTTTTAATTGGGATTTTGGGGTCGTGGTTCAGGTATGACTTGAGATGCTCATCAGCTGCTCCCAGTTGTAAAAAAAAAAACTAGACCTTGTTTCCACGGTTATGCATCAAGTAAAAACTTAAGAGTAAACGTCCTTCCAGCTGCGCAGCATCCAAAACCAGAGGGAGAAACTGTCCAGACACGCAATGCCTCAAAAAGAAAAAAGAAAATCTCCAAAAAGAACAAAACAGAGCCTATTATGGGGTTTTGCATGTTGAATTTGTTTTTTTGTTGAGGGGAAGTAATCTACTTTGGAATAAGGGTGTAACATAATATGTGGACCCAGAATGCCCCTCTGTTACCTGGGAATCCGTTTCCGCTTTGTGCCAATTAAACGGACGGCTGTCTCATTGACATGCCTTTCAAAGTTAGTTGTATTTTATCTCCACTTTATACGGAGAGGTCACACCTTAGTGATGGCTCGGCGTGTGATGTATGGTCAGAGCGGCACGCTCATCTACTGACAAAGCCAGGCTGCCCGCTGCAGATAAGAGCCAACAAATGCATCAACCACCTGAGTGTGTGTGGGGGAGAGATACAGGTTCTACTGCAGTGTGTGTCATACACACCGCCTGGCCAGTGTGCGATCCATCGAGGCTGACAGTGTATGACACAATGCACCTCCATAGCTGTACGCTTGCCTGATCTGCTGTGTGTGTGAGGAGATACATGGCCCGTCGGTGTTTTATCTGCAGCGAGAGACCTTCAGGTTCATCCTGTGTTTGTTGCCGTCGCCTCACTTCTGAAAACGATTTCATACATGGGAAGAAACATCACAGAATCAACATCCTGACTGCAGTGCAATTCTGTTAAATGACTTCATTGCTTTGCTCTCTGACTTGATCCAGAGTTGTCTACGTATTTTTATTTTTTTTTTCATTAAGCTTGTTTTTGATGTTTTCTGCCATCGTCAGATGAGCTAGCTGAGTTTCTGATTTACGTGAGAACTCTGGACTATGACGATAAGCCTGACTACAAGCTTCTTAAAGAGCTGCTGGACTGTCGTGTCAAAGGAGAACTTGACCTGTCTGCGCCTGAAGGTCACCAAAGGTCAGCCTCCAAGGAGTCTTCTAAAAGAGAGAAGGTGAGAACAAAATGAGATGATTATCATTGTGTCAAGTGTCTCCTAAGTAGTCGTCGTGGCATCTTGATACATATCAGGATCAACACTGCAGGATTCACACAGAACTCTAAACTCAAATTGTCAGAGTTTTCAGGCAAATTTCTTTTCCCATTTTCAGAGGATGCAAAAATTCAGCAAGAGCTTATAAAGAGCTAAAAAAAATCTCATGATGATCCCACCACATCCCAGCCCAGGCTTTTCACGGCTGTCTTTGAACATATCAGGATGCAGTTCTGTGCTAGTTTGTGTGCAACAGGCTCCATCCTTCTCAATTCTAAATTAAAGAGTTGTGACACTTACAAACTAATCAAATGTATTGACCGGCTTTTAAAAGAACATTAGGGACCAGTGTAGAGCTGCAAGCCTTTCATTTTTTCTGTTTCACAATCTCCTCCTTTGTGAGATGGAGAACAGGCACAAGAGGAGAGGTGCAGCAGAGTACATGTGCACTGCTTTTTTTCATATGCAAATATTTCATTTTCCAAAAGGCCTCACGGTTGCCGAATAAGACACTTTTTTGAAGTGAATTACACACATGTTGGGAATTATGATCAATATGTCAGAATCAAGTAGTCATCTTTTCAAGGGCAGCTGTGTTTTTTTTGTTTTTTTGTCAGATTTAATTGACTATTACTATTGTTGGAGAAGCTGCACTTCTAAAACATACAAGATGCTCTTGAGGAAAGAATTTGGCCACCCTGGGTCTAAGATAGTTTTTCCAATTTAAAATGAGTAACTCTGGGTTGCCTTACAGAGCTGTAAATCTGATCTCCGGTGGCAGGGCTTTTCTCCAACAGCCTGAGGGATTCAAACTCAGCATTTCCTTTAGACATCAATTGACTAGCAGAGTCAAGCAGGTGAACATAATCCAACCAATTGAATGGACTGGCATTGCTACAACCTTACATCCTCCATATCCCAGTCCAGGACCACTACAATAACACAACCAACAAGTCAACAGTTTTGTTCGTCCCTAAAGTGGAACAGGGTCCCACTGCATCCTTGAAGACCTGAACATGACCCTGTAAAGAACTTTTATGTTCTGGCTGAATTTTACTCTTACTTTGGCCAGTTTTTCACTCATTAGTCTTAATTTCAGTTTTTACTAAATAATTACTTGCTGCCGTGTAACATGTGTTGCTGTTGAGTAGAGGTTAAGGTTTGGAGACCCGGTGAGGTCACCCTGCCTTCTGTTTAGTACACCCTTATGCACAAACCGTAGACATAAAGAAGGATGTGCTTAATGTTTGGCCATAATTAAATCTTTGTATTCATTGAACAACCTCACCGCTGGCCGTTGAGGGTTTTCTTTGTCGAGTCTCTTGACCTCAGAGTGCAGAAACGTGATGGCAGTGAAAGGCAGGTTTAGCCTTCTGGTGACATTCCCCTCTCCACCTCTAAGAGGAGGATGTCAATGAAAGATGGTCAGACCTGACGGTGAAAGAAGACTACAGCCCCCTCCTCTGCATTCCCCAGAATCACTTCTTGACCCTGCGTGGCCCAGTGACCGGCCTCTCAACAGCCCAGTGAGAAGGAGCTGATGACACACACTTTACCCGGCAGAGGGCATCTCCAATTATGCTCCTAATTTCCTCTCCTCTCCTTGTGTCATTTCATTTCCATGCTAAAGTGCTGGCCAGTTTGATCCCTTGTTAAACACAAGTGGCCATTTACTGACGCTTTAGCGAGGAGAGGAAATGTCAGCGGAGATAAAGGCCACAGAATCGTCTGCCATTACTGTTGGATAAATATGACTCTTTTATGGGCGATCACAGTTTGAACGTGAAGGAGTGTTGCTGAAAGCCAAGTTGAAGAAAGTTGCAAACTCCATTCGTATTAATATTTCAACTCTTCTTGAAGCAGCAGAAAGGAGGAACAGCCAGAGGGCCCTGCAGAGTCAAGCTGGTGACTCCAGAGCTGGGCGAGGAAGAACTGGAGAGCCCAAAGCCCAAACCGGTGTCAGCGCGCTACATAAGAGGCCCACCCCTGACTAAACCCGAGTCCAGTAAGGTAAGCTAGAAACAGACACCTGACTTTTTTGCAATCATTGATTACATTGTGCCACAATTGAACCTAACAATTCGACTGAATTGTTAGGTTCTTGACACCCAGCCCTACACGATACGCTGTATTGTGGACCCTTAAAAGTTCATCCGTTTCTTAACCAAAGTGGCAACTATGTTTTTTGCGTCTCCAAAATTTTATCATGTAGGAAAGTTGTTTAATGTTGAAACATGAAAAGATGTTTTTAAAGTAAGAAAGAAGGTGAAGTTATGCAGTGAATGAAACCAAATCAAAATGGGGACAACTGCATTGAGGACAGTAGCGTCTGCATGTGGCGAATTTGACTGGCCAGTCTTGATGGTCATTGTCCATTTAACCCGAGGCACAAGCACAGGTCAGACGTTCATAAACAGCGTAGAACTCGACTACAAATCTTTTCTACAGTTGCACAAATAGTAATTACTCGGCGACTGTACTTCAGTGTTTTGGCTTTTTAAAGGGAAACTGAACGAAAGCCATAGACCCAACTGGACTCTGCATGTTTATTTACACCAGAAACCAGTGATCACTTCAGCAGCAGCTGAACCTATTCATCAAACCGTTTACCAGCTGCTTTAACAGAGAATGAGTCGAGTGAAATGAATCTGGAGTCGGATTTTACATGTAAAACACTAAAAACCTGCTGTTTCTCCCCTTTCCTCCAAGAAGAAAGAGGTTTCTCCTGTTGGAAAGTATTTACTGAGGTCGAGGCTCGCACGTAGGTATGAAGAAAAAGAAGACAGTGAGGAGGAGGAAGATGAGGAAGATGAGGAGGATGAGGATGAGGAGGATGACAGACCCAAACGTATTCCTGCATGCTACCTGAGAGGTCCTCCCATTGGCCCTGGAGATCAGCCCAAACAGGTGTGAGGCCTGAAGGCTCACCGCCAAACGGCTTTTGGAGACTTTCCTGAATCATTTTTTTTAAGACGACCATTCTACACTACATCTTTAAATGACTCTTGAACTCAATCAGAGATACAAATTGATCCCAAAATCAATTTTTATTTTTGTTAGCTGTAAAAAAACATATATATATATATATATACATATTCATAAAATTCTTTTAACAGAGAACTAAATCCAAAAGACCCGACAACAAAACAGACGAGCAGACCAGGACCATGGCGAGACGGGAACATCAACGCAGCCTCCATGGCGGGGCACGGTGTGACAGGGAGAGGCAGATGCATGATGGGGATTGCAGAGAATGCTGGGATGAAAGGCCGCATCAGAACGGAGGGCGGTACTGCCACATCCATTCAAAGCAGAGCCAGATCATGTCAGAGTGCGAACCTGCCACCGTGCAGAGAAACTCCTGGAAGTCCAGGTTTGTCTGTGTGGGATTCATCCTTCTGGTGGGAGCTGCTTTTCTGTTCGCCGAAGTTCGGTTCAATAGCATAAGCGATTTATTAAGCAGGTAGAAGGTCATTATCTTTTTGTGCTGCTCCTCAGGTCTTCTGGGCGGCCATTTTCACTGTAATAGGCTGAAATACAAAGATGAGCATCAGGTTGTTGTAGTTAATGAATTATCTGTAAAGTTGAAAGATGTGGAAGAAAAAAAAATCTCCTGCACAAATCACTAGAACTCTGACTCAGTTCTAGCTATCAAGCTGCGTGTGACGGCACTTTGAGAAGACAAGGCCAGATGATGAATGGATCCATACGAGTAGCTGCTGAATATGCATGCGGCGCTGAGGCCGGGCCTTTGTGTCAGCTGCCTGCGTCCACGTACCTTACTGCAGTAAGGACACTCTCCAAAAACAAGGTTGAAGCTCTGCCTGCTGGAGGGGAGCGCTCGCAGCCACTGGAGGGAAGAAAAGGCTCGTTGATCTCATCATCACCTTGGACATGGTGACATTAACATGTTTCTACTCTTTTATATGAATATCATTCTACGTAATACGGTTTAGAGGGCTTTTCAAAGAACAAGGGCTCCTCCTGCCACCTTTCACCACATCAGAGAAGCAGAATTTGAGTAAAAAGCAGAGGAAATACAATCGAGAGTTTATTCTTCTATGCTTTGAAGTCGCACCAGTCTACCCGAGTGATGCCTCTTCACTTCTGAAGACTGAACTTCAACATTAGGTGGCAAACTGACTAAAAGCTGCCAAAAACCCCCCCAAAAAACAAACAACTGCTGTGGTCCTCAACAGTTTATCTTTTACACTGACCTTCTGTACCTACAGCTTCTGGTTATATTTAGAACACTGGAAACATTGGTATATATTACTGGTGACTATTAGCTGCTATTAGACGTGTGCCGATCGATCGGCCACCGATCATAATCGTCCGATTTCGGTGAAAAAGTGTATGATCTGTGATCGCCGATCACTGTGTCGTGTTGCCAATCACACAAACCGATTGGCTGTATCTCAGTTCGCAGCCTTCGGGTGCAGCTGATCTCCTCTTTCCTTCACGCTGCGAAAGCGCGCAGCAGCAAATCCTAAGCGATGTCACATGGAACTTCAACGCTCAGAGTTGAAGTTCCACGTTTGAAAATTACCTCGGGGGTGAAGCACGTCAAAATGCATCGACACAACAAATCTAATATGACATTTAAGACACTTGATGGAGTTTGGCTGCATTGAGGCTCACTGCAGAAAAAATAAAATAGACATCCAGAGTGATCAGACAGCAGGTAAAGCAGTGCAGAAAGCTAAAAAAAAAAAGATGACAAGAAAAAAGTTAAAGTCCACTGCGCCGCACTACTGGTAGTAATATTTCATAGATGTAGCACCGCTCAACCTCCACCTGGACTGAACTCTCACACCGAACGTCTGCTTAAAGCTGCAGCATGTAACTTAGAGAAACAAAAAAAGATTTGACATATGCATTAAAACTTTCACTATGTCCTAACATGAGACAGATAATCTCTGAAAGAAGAAAATAATAACCGAGCTCCTTTGCCTCTTTCCTGTGTTCTGCAGAATTGCTCAGCTCAGTCAGAAAGGGCCAATCAGGACCAGCACCAAACAATTAGCCGCGCTCTCAGGAAGTTTTCATTTAGTAACTCTGGATTGTTTATTTTGATGCAACCTGCATTTAACTTTGAGTGAATGTCTCCTTTTGTGTTGACATTATTTGATAGGGGCAGAGTTGCAACATTTATTTGACTAATGGCGATAATTTAGGGTCCAGAGAGCTACACTGTTAAATATTATTTTACTGATTGCAGTGACTTAACAGCTGCTGTATTGTGCCTGCAAGTATTTTTCATGTTTATGTCAAAATTAGGTGAATATATTAGCAGATCATTTTTTTTAATTTTGCCAGATCACATAGTAGCATTTATACCTTATACAAAAAATTAACAGCCAATCCAGATTATCGGCAGCGATGGGTGATCGGAATCCTAGGAAAACCTGATCGGAGTATCCCTAGCTGCTAGTGATGCCATTACTGTGGACTGAGTCATGTCCACAAAACCACACTGTTCCACTATGAGCATTCATCTGTCACACAAATGGTTGTAATGCCCTCATTTACTATCAAATTGCTACAAAATGACTTAAATTAAAGCTCAGAAAATAGCCGATGTTTTGATTAGTAAAATATGAAACCAGCTATAAGCCTTGACACTCTCAGTATTTCAGCAACACTTATTGTAAAACCAGGTGAATGTATCTCTATTTTTGTTTAAATGCATAATAAATTGAAACTTGTGCAACCAAATATTGTTTTAAGTCATTGCATCCCAGTAAAATGTGTTAACATTTGTGGCCGCAATGCGTCAAAATGCGGAAAAGTTTTGAGTATGAAGATTTTGTGCAAGGCGCTCTAAATCCAGGAGTTAGTGAACCTTATTGGTGATGGAGTCGATCTGTTTCCATACCTCATAGAGACAGGCCTGATGGAACGGCTGGCCACAGCGGGGGTCATTACACACTTGATCGGGGATGGCGTCTTCAAGCCGATAGGAGTAACAGATGCCGCACTCCACATTGAAACTCTGCACACACACACACACACACACAAATCCAGAAACATCCAGTGGCACTTTCTAAAATGTTCTGGTCACTCATGGAGTCTCTGAGCACCAACATGCTAAATCAACCTCCAAGCATCACCTGCAACTCCCACTCTGCACTCTGTTGCTGCTCCACTATCACACCTTCAGTGCACTCTCTCTTTGCATTTCTGCGTAATGAGAAGCTTCTGTTTTTGTTTTTTCCCCCCCTCTTCCCCTGGAGCCATCCATTAAGAGAGAGGATGGCAGGTTTAAAAAAAAAAAAAATCAACATCTGGTCAACCCAACTTTTTTGCACTCCTCTGAATGTTAATGAAGCTGAGGCATTAATCACCGTGGCGACAGCAGATAAACACAACGCCCTTTCAACCCATTCGCAGAGAAGGGAGGGGAAGGAATGATTTTTTTTCTTTAAAAAAAAAAGGAGAGATAAATGGTTTTGCGTGATTAAAGCGGTTTGATAGTGAACAGAATTCTGCCATCTTTGTTATTCTAATGATCTTATCTGTAAACAACCCAATTAAAGGAGCAGTTGTGCCCACCTCTAAAAGAGAATAAATAAATAAATAAAAAAACATGGAGAGAAAAATATGGAAATGATGGAAAGAAAAAAGCAGTTGTGTACATCCACCCGCTTAAAAGTTGAACATGCACAGCTCCTGGAGCTAATCCTGATGAGAGCGGACATGTTTGAAATGGAAAAGGGTGCATCTGTGTGACATACAGATTTTTCGTGGGTGGCCGGTGACGGGAATTCGATCTCCAAAACATCCCGGAGGTTGTTCAAGACGCTGGAGTCCGGGTTCCTGCCAGCAAACCACAGACAGCTCCTTCACACACTAATTAACCACATGCAAATGAGCCTGCAAAGACACTGAGGGATGATTAGGACACTTTCACCACTGCTACACAACAAGGGGGAGAAAAAAATGGAAAGGCTGCAGAGCATTGGTTTGTTCACACAGAGGGAGGGAGAACTTCCTGAGCTCTGGAGCAAATGCTGCAACCTGTGGTGAAATTAGAATCGAAATGAGGAGTAATCATCTTTTCTTTGCCTAAAACACGGAGGGATGATCAGATTCTCTCCAAGCAGCTGAACTGGTTCCCACTTCAGCAACGACATGGCTTCTGGAGCGTCCCGTAAAATCCCGTAAAACACAGAAGTGGCCCCGTCTCACAGGGGCATCTCAAATGAAAATCTATAATTCATTTCAGTCGATCTCAGCAAAATAAGCAAAAATAAAGTTTGAAAAAATCCTATGAGTACATTGGTTGATCAAGTCAACATTTATCTTTTTTTTTTTTATTCCTGCAAATCATGAAACTCCTGAGCAAATTAAGATAAACTCAAATCAATAATACTTTTAAAAAAATCTGGATTAATCTAAAATTAGTGTAAGTTTCATTAAAATAGTTATTTCAGTGCTTTGGCAGCTAAACTGACCCAAACAACCTGGGGTCCAGTTTGAGACCCACATATAAAAATAATGGCAAGGTGTTGTTTGGATTTTCAAGTGAATGTGGGTTTATCAAAATGATTGATAAGTTGTACAAAAACTCAAGCTCAGATGTTCTGTGAGTTTTTTTTCCATAATTACTCAGGCCTGGAAAACAATGAAATCAAATTACATAATTTTCAAGACCGCCTTAGAAATCTGGATATAATGTACGCCTGAGCAATAAATCAATAATAATATACTGTAATGGACATGTGTTCAATATCAATAGATAATATGCAATTTCACTGAACTCTGAGTCAGAACCGCACAGCATTCTGGGAGATGTAGGCAGAGGAAAGGCTTCAGCCACTCAACATCTCACCAGGTAAGGAAGATTGGTGGCATCAACTAACTTGCTCACTTTTTGGTTACCTAGCAACGACCTGTTGAATAACTTACTGCTGCATTTTAAGGTTTTACCATCGTGCCTTATAACTGCCTAAAAATAAATAAAAGCATGGAGTGAAAACTGGATAAAACAGGAAATGTGAGGAAAGATTGGCAGTATTTCAGATTTTTAAAACAAAGAACTGATCGATAATTATCAGTCGACTAATATGAGACACTTATTGTATAAGTGTGCCCAGCCCCAAGTCATACATAGATTAGTATAGACAGCACACGACGACGTGGAGGACGAACGATTGTGTCGTCAAACTCACCACATGTGCATGTTGGCGTTCAGTTTATTCCTCAGCGGCGTCACCACTGCAACAACAGAACAAAAGGTCGGACTTGGTTCTGGATGTGAATTCTGATAACAGCTTTAAATTTAAGCTGAAGTTTGTCATCACAGATTCAAAGCACCTGCAAGATCCTCCAGGATTGTCTGGAAGCCCCCTGAGAAAAAAACTAAGTTAGTCTGTCTCAAAAGAGCAGCCCTTTGCCCCCCCGTCTGACGGCGCCTCTACTGTCGCATGTGAACCCTCGCCGCTTCCAGCTCCGCGGGGAGCGCCGTCTCCGTGCACCGCTCACCACTTTCATATTTGTTTTTCCTACATGCAAAAAGCAATATTTCTGGGCGACCTTCCGTATTCGAGG